AGTTTATTCGCGTTCACCGCCAAATTTAGTATACGCGATAGTGCCCATCCGCTGTCGAGTTCTTCGTGCGATGCTAGGATAGGCTCGACGGCGCGTGCCACGTACCACTCGTGCAAATCAGTACATCGAAAGACTTCAAAGTTAAGGATGGCAACGCTTTTGTTCGCGCGTTTGTCACCAGCCATTAACTCACCATTCAAAGCAATGTTTATTTTTATAGAATCATATCTCTGCATGATACACTGCACATGCTCGAGCACAATTTCACTAGCGTCTTCGAGAAATCGGCGAGGTTCGGTATAATTGGAGTTTATTACCGCGCCCATTAGAATACGGTTTTCGAAACGCCGTTTCAATCTCGCGCCATCGAAGTTCATATCCTGCACGAATCGTCCACGCACCAAATCCTTCAAGCTTTGAAGCCGCGCGATACATGCGATCACTGATTGTTTACTACCAATCGTTAATCGCGAGCGTTTGATACAGCTCTGCTCCTCCAGAGATTCTATAAATTCATCGCAACGTTGTTCCCACGCGACTTACTCTGCTCTTGTATTAACCTGGATAGTCGTTTGTTCAATCAAATCACCCTCCATGTTATCGCTTGCGTTGACTAATGACGTGGTTCATCTAAATCTTGTTATTTTTATATCATTTACTTGGTCACGTGACATTACACTGATGATGATGTCACCGCTTGAACATGTTGTGACATGTCGTACCATGTCCTTGAAAAAATTTTTTTAATTACGCTACCAAAGCAGATATACTTTGATGAAGTTCCAAATGCTGCATTTTTGTAGGTGTTGTATCAAGTTCCATTGATGATGTCATCGCCAAAATATGTTAATATCCTAGAAAAAATTTCTTAAATTACGCTGACAAAGCAGTTGCGTATTAGCAAATTTGCTGACACTGCAATTTGCTGACGCTGCAATTTGCGGTGACAGATTACATTAATATCATCACCGGATGTGTATAGAAATCTTTTATTACGAAAAATTGTCGGAGGGAATAAGATTTAAACAGAGATTGGAGTAACAATACTGCATCAGTTGTTCAGAGAGATTCGTTTTACAGTGATCTCGAGCGTTATGAATTCTTACGTTCAACATGAACTGTATTTCATTTGTATCTGTAAAAAATGTTATCTATATACATATCACTTATTTATTCTTTATTTCAGCGCACGTGACATCATGGGAAGAACACGTGCGCTGACACCGACAGAGTACAAATTTCTGGAGATTAGTATCGCCGCGAGATCAATGTCCCAAATAGGAATTGTGATTGGTGATACCCGAGGCAACCGCATCATCCTGCCGCACGCTACGTGGACGGCGTTCGACGAGAAAAGGATGGATATCCAGCGATTTGTCCGGTCATCTACTCCGTCATCGTTGATGATTCAGGATCTTGCGGTTGAGGTTGTTAAAATACGTGATGTTGATAATGTGAAATTATCTTTATGTGATACGTGTATGTATATGAAACTGTCGACTATACTTTTTATGCTTGAGCTCGAACAATGTGTCGAGCACGCATATTCCGATTTGTGTCAATATATTGTGAGTGATAAATTTAATTATTTCGTAAGTTATTTACGTCAGTATGTATTATGAACAAATGCGATGCGGTAAACATTTTACGGAAGATTTATGATAAGCATTCAGGTATTGCATGCGAATTAGTAACGTACGCCTCAGATAATATTGTACATAACGAATTGCATGAAAAATGAACGCATGTTAAAACGAAATATCTCAGAGTCTATAATTATTTAAGTTATTATTATTGTTATTTTTATTATTGTTAATGTATATACAATAAAACAATTGGTGGGAAAGAGGGTCCCATAAGGGGAAAAAGATGACAGCGTACATGAGGAAGAGAGATGGTAAGTATAAATGATATAGCACGCGATGGGGTCCGTGCTTGTTGGCGGCGGTAGGGATCGGCGGTGCCGGCGGGGACCGGCGTCGGCGGTAAGGACCGTCGGCGTACCGCGCCCGGAGGCGGCGGCGGCGGCCCGCGCGCGATTGCGACTGCGGACTGCACCCGGAAGGACCATGCCCGGTGGTCACTGACCCCGTACTATCGCGACGCGGACGCAAGTTTCTCGCGCTACGTAATTTCCTGCACCTGAGACATCCTCGTCCCGCATCGCAACGTCATCCCTGCGACGTCACCCATTGTGACGTTATCCTCGCACACCCCTGCGATGTCATCCCTCACCTAGTGACATTTCCTCCTGTGACATCATCTTCTCCTCCTCCCCGTTACATCATCCCTTCGCCTAGGGAGGGGGG